TAAGCCAATAACTAGAGCAATAGGCTGTTTTCTCGATTTTATCGCCGTACCGTGCGTTGATTGTTGAATTTTTTGAAGCATTGCTAAATGCTGGTTAAAAAGGCTTACCGTAGTTGTAAGGATGATTGATATGACCATTACAAAATACAAAATGGAATAGATTGGTGCAACTGGCAATTTCGCAATTGCTTCCGGCAAATAAATGAATACAAGCTGCACACCACCTGCAAAATCGCTCAAGAATTTTTTTTTCCGCTGCACGAGTTGTAGTTAGAATTACTTGCCAAGGAACACTATCACTGCTCATTTTGTAAACCTTTTCAATGCCATAAGTAGCAACAATCAATGATCTTTAGACCAAAAACATTAAAAATTAGTCCATTGATTCTCCAAGTGTTTCTGTAATGAGATTTGAGATTACTGTTTACAGCTAAGCATTTGTTATGAATATTTTCGTTTCAGAATCAAAGTGCCGACAAAAAGGAAGACTAGGATGATGGCAATTTATACAAACCACGTGTACTATGTAGTGAATACTACATGAAGTATATAAAACACCCCCAGCTAGACGAAAGAAGCTAAAAAGGAATTTTAGGATCACCAGTCCAGTAATGGCAAAATAATTCTGATTAAATCGACTGCGGAACGACCGCAAGCCAAAGCGAAAAAACAACTGAAAAAAACATCCGGAAAATTGTGGAACTTAAAACTTTCTAAATTATGCAAAAAAAAGAACCTTTGAAGTTGAATTTCTCGAGCGGAAGCTCCAATTCATAGCAGAGAAAGCCGACAGCCGAAAATATTAGCGCCGCACAAAGCACTGACGTGATGATATCAACAAAGCATAAAAACCAGGCATCCCTACAAATAATTTTTACTTCTAAAGTTTGTCTAAAAAAATCTGGTATCATCCTATAGTTTCTTCAAAATTTCAAGATATTTTGGATTCAAATAACGAAATAACTGAGCAAAAACCATGAAAACCAAGACCGGCTGGAAATTAGTGTGGGGTCCCCCACTAACAGATATGTTACCGAAATACTCTCACTTGTCGGGCAAAACCATGCCAAAGAGGACAGATAACATACTTGAAAACGTTGTTATGAAATTTGTTGTAGCTTGCAAGTGTCATCAAACCACCGGTACAACATAACAATGAATAAAACACCTGCACTGCAGCGGTACCCCAGACCTAAACAACGGCGAATAAAACCCTGTATCACAACAATGGTGATCAAGCATGAATTCAAAAATTCACTAACAAATACTTATATTTGGAACACTTGGCTCAGCTATAGCTCAAATAGTCGTTCACCAACTATCCAACTGTGGCATCTTATCTAATGCTGCTCAGCCCGGTGGTCAACCTGCTGGCAATCTACTACATCTCCTGAAGGGAATACCAACTCAGCGGGCCTTCCCAAACAGAAACAACTGATAAAGTTTTAGCCGGAGTTTTATATGCTATGTGCCCTGCTACTCCTAGACAGGTACCTTACTCTCAACGAGGCCTTTCATACCCTATTTTTTACATATTTTAACACAGAAGCAGCAAAAAATAGTACCTTCAAATCAGTCATAAATTTCCAGTTTGGTATGAAAAAATATAGAAGACCCGTGAGTGAACCCGGAAGTGTAAGAAAACGGACGAACAATACACAAAATATTACATAGGGCGTGAAGACTGCCACATAAGCTGCCTGAAAATAATACTTTTCTGTGAATTAGGCATCAAACTTTCAAAAATTCATAACCGGAACTCAAAATGAAACGGACGCCGGGATCGATAGCAGGCTAATTTTTTGACGATGCAGCATTGGTTAAAGCCATTGGGAAAGTAGCCAGTTGCCTAAATCCTGGATTTTTACATAAGTATGTGGGCATTCTGCCGAGAACGGAGCTCCTTTTATCCAACTATTCATTTTCACTATCTCTGGATTCTTTGAACTGTATAATCAGTATCAGTGGTTTTCAAAAAAAAAAAACCCGTTTTCGATTTTTATAAAAGGCCGTGTACGAAGGGAGGTTTTTTAGTTTGATCAAATTTCCGAAAATTTAAGCATTCTGTTATTCCAGAAATCACAAAATACACAATCAGTACAAAAAAAAATTCACCGAAATTGTGTGGTGAAGAAAAGAGTAACCGCAAAAAAAAGACGTTAGCTTACCTTGCCCGATGATTTTACTCCTTTGAAAGCACAAAGGAAAACAATGAACCAAACAACTAGCAAA